AAAGGCAAGATACTCCAGCGGGACTAGTCAGACAGAGAAATGACGAGTAGCTGAGAGCAATGAAGGGAGGAGAAGTTAATAGAGAGAGGGAGCGATCAGGGGAGCAGCGGGACCAAACAGATGGAGTGGAGCTGGGAAGAAAATAAACTAATGAACAGAGAAGTGAACTAAGTATATACAAGATAAATGAGCCTACGGGGCAACATCTGTCTAATGAAAAGAACCTTGAATATGGCCTTGAATAGCAGAGAGATACAATAAAATAACAGGAAGGCAGTGAAAACATGAACATAAACGAAAATGATAACCCAAAACTTAAGTGAATGAAACCTCAAGAGTATCTGTTTGAATCATTAAAACACTTGTTTCCTGACCTCCTAACAGTCTGCCTGCATTAGGTTTACTCATCAGTTAGCACCACATGAAAAGCTATGAATTTGTAGTACCATCCTTTGCTTTCTTAATTAAATAAGAAAATAATAAATTGGTATTTCCCTATTTAATGATGTACCATTGTTATCTAAACCAAGATGATTTTAGTGACTAATAATAAGTCCCAAATGTTCACAGGCAGAAACCAGCAGGAGTCCAAAGACAGGTCAGGCAAACAGATCAGAACATAAACAGGCTGGCTCAAAGGTCCGAAAGCAGAACAGGTCAGGATCAAGCAGTCAAAACACAAACAGGTTTGCTAGAGAACTCTCACTGAAGGCTAAAATAATCTGGCACTGATGATACTTTTTCACTTTTACACAAGTAAAAGTGGAAAAGTCTGTGCTCCAAAAACTACTTAAAGTATAAAAGTATAAAGTAACCTTAAAAAAAAAAAAAAAAAAAAAAAAAAAAAAAAAAACAGCCAGATGCCACTATATGAATTGAAAGCTCAATTTTTTGACTATTTCCAAAAATTCTTTGAGATAGGGCCAAGGATGAGGGAGGTATTGTTGGTCTCTGTCTCCCTCTCAACTCAATTCAATTCAAACTGGCGCACATGATGTAAAATAAATATTTATAAACATTAAACCGAAGCCAAGAGTAAAGAGCAATGTTTGTTTTAGAAATGTAAGGAATAGAAAGTACAGATACTTGTGTGAAAATGTAATGAGTAGAAGTCAGAAGTAAGAAGAAAAATAAGTAATGGAGTAAAGTACAGATACCTAAAACGTGTACTTAAGTACCTCTGTAGAGAGGTGAATGGAATGAACAATTAAGCCAGTCATCATTTTCAAGATCATGACAGTATTTTATGAAACGTATACCAGATATGATTTTATTTGGAAATATCTGATCAAAAGTGTTACAAAAGGATCTCCTGTTCAATGGCATTAATTATTATTCTGTAAATAATAGAGAAGCAAAGGCGTAACTATAGCTCTTTCTCACAAGGGTGAAATCCCATACCTATTGCCTGGGAAATTCTTAAATTCATCCATGCATCCTCTCCCGTCAAGGTCTGTCAAGGTTGCGGTGGGGTGGTGCTTATCTCCGGCAGTCTATGGGAGAAAGGCAGGGTAAAAAATTGACAGGTCTCCCAGTCCATCCAGGACAACACATAGACACACAACCATGCACACATTTACAACTATGAAGAATTTAGAGATGCCTAACAGTAATGCTTTTGTATTGTGGGAGGAAGCTAAAGTACAGTACCTGGAGAGAACCAGCAGATGCACAGAGGGAACATGCAATCTCCATGCAGAAAAAGGCGCCAGGAATAGAACCTAGGGACTTCTTTCTACAAGGGGCACCCACTGTGACACAGTGCAGCCCACATTGATGTTAATATTGGTTAAAAGTTAAAGTGTAAATCTTTATAAATTTGTATTAACTGGCCTTTTGTGTCACTCTCAGGGTGTAAAAGGTTGATGACCCCTGGTCTAAAGCTACAACAGGATAGAGTTACTTGTGATACAGACAGTCTTATCAATATATGAAAATTGATATAAATAAGAAAATGAAACATTTCAGTCAAGTTTCACAGTACCACTCTAGAAACCATAAGCTTTTATTGGGCAGAGAAATGATTAGAAAGTGGAGATAACCAGGAGAGGAAACAGTGGTGTGAAAAAGTGTTTGCTGCCTTTCTGATTTTCTGTTTGTTTGCATGTTTGTGAAGTGTTTCAGAGCAAATGTGACTGATACTGTTGTGTAGCCAATGAAATCCTGTGAATGTACACATTTTAGGTATGCAAATGAAAGTTGACAAGACAAATCAATATGTAACAGGAAGCAGCTGGAGCCAGCAATTTTGTGTCCTTCAACATTTTTTTTGCATTTCCTTTTATATATTTTTTCAGTCATGTGTGTTTTTTAGATTTTGACAACATAATCTAATTCCTCTGAGTGTAAGTTTTTCATATAGGCCTCAAGGAAATGTCTGTGTTGCAGTGTTCAATGTTTACAGCCTTTTCCTCTATCTCCACTGGAATATCCAAACAGTCGCTCTTCGAAAAACCATGGACATCAGATATTAGTCATTTCTTTTAACAGTTCTACTTTTATTGAATCTGGATGCAGAGAAAGACACTTAAGAATATGTCCTTATTACAAAAAGCCCAGAAATTAATGTATACTCCAAAGGGGTCCAAAACAACATGAATTTTAATTTGGAGAAGTTTTCATTAGATGTTTTTAGAAAAACAGACTCAGAACTAAGTAAGGTGTATTAAAGCCGAATAACACTGAGAATAAGTATTAAACACATGAAAAAAAGAAGCTGCATAAAGGCATAAAAAGCAAGCAAAAATTTTATTTAAAATAGAAACCAGTTTGTCTTTCTATTAGTAACTTAGTAAATTAAGACAAATTACTATTACCACTGTATGTCACACAAAGCATTGCATAATACGTAGAAATTTTCAGCATAAGGTTAAAATAATTCACATTTAAGTAACTAGTTTAAATGCAACAATTATCAATGAATTAACCATTTGGAGGAGAGATGGCACACAACTAACCTTAAAACCACATTAAAACCATTTTACAAACAGCAAAGTCATTTTCTTCTCTTAAATCCAATCAAGATGCTGTGGTTTGACCTTAAACAGGCTGGTTATGCTCAAAACCCACCCAGTGAGGCTTAACTAAAACAATTCTGCAAAGATGAGTAGGCAAAAATTCCTCCACAACATTATAAAAAGAATCATTGCCAGCTGTTACTAAATATATCCTGCTGCAAAGGGTTGGCCCAACCAGCGTAGCTTTTCTTCTCAATAGATAACATCATATGGAAGTTTTTATAAAAGAGCAATAGCAATGAATTCTGTAAAGGGAAAACCTGTTTTTCTTATTTTTACACATTTGCTCAAAAAAACAACAAAACAGAATTGCTCAACATGTACTTTACTATTGTATATAGGAATCAAAGAAACTTATGATTTTTGTTCTCTCTCAAAAGTAAGGTAATTTATATTTAAAGGTGAATGCTTTAAATTGAGTGTCTGCTGGGACTCTGTGTCAGATTTTCTTTGCTGACTTCTTTCGTGTCTTTCGAAGAATATGCTGACAGATTTCCGACAAAAGGTAGTTATTGAAAAGAGATAATGTTTTCTAGAACTGTTCAGAGGAGGAACAGCAAATTAATTTTATCAGTACTAAATTAAAAGTCTTTTGCTAAGTGTTCTTAAAATTAAAGGAAAAGAAGGAAACCACTAAAGTTAAAACTTTAACATTCATTCTGCAACTCTAGACATATTCAAACTGACACCTGTTTAACTAGCATGTTTTTGATAACCATCAAAGCTGACAGGAATCACTTTTTGATCTTGTCTTATGCAAATAATTTTTTTCACAATCAGTATATACTTAAAATTAGCAAGATAAATTTAATTACTGAATTTCTGTCCCAACCCTTGTCTTCCGGGAAAATTCATCACTGTTTTTAGTTTCTTAGTGTTTGCTTCTTGCGTATTTGAGCTGCATAAATACAGGACAGAAGAAGTCAAAGTTCAGTGAGAAGAATATAAACCTTTGTTTGTCTTTAGCAAATAAAAATGTGAATCATTGCATTTTGTTTTTTTAGAAAAAGTGTACCCAGCATGCATCACTGTGATTAAGTCAGATCTTGAGGGGTCTTTTCAGTGCTTTTTTTTGACAAAAATTTTATTGGTTTAAATTCTGGACCAATCCGCAAGTTTTATTCTCTTGTTTCCTGAAGCCAATTAATACTTTCTATGACTTGTTTTTTCTTTAGATACTTTCCATCCATGTCTGTAGTAATCCCTACTTTATTTGCATTAAGTCTTTCTTTACATTTAAATTACATGTCAAACATTAGGACAGCCCAAAGAAATCAAATGTTCCCACCTCCACACTTCCCTTTAGTTATAGTTGTTTTGATTTCAGCTCTTTCACCACTCCCGACATGGTATGTGCAATGTCTTACAAACAGTTAATCGTTTGTAGAATTTGAACAGACTATATATCCTTTCTGCATTCCACTGGCAGGGAGAAATGTTTCTCTGCAAACTTGAAGCGACCATCAGCATGCTTTTCTTGAGCACTGGAGTCATGCATAGTGAGTATATAGTGTATAGCAGCTATTGCCTTTCATTTTTTGTTGTTTTGTTGAAAGAATTGTATATGCTTATTTTTTCAATCATCTTACAATTCAAAGGTTTAGGGTTCAATCATAGCTACTGTACCTTACGATGGCCCACCAAGCTGTGCGTCAGTGTATGGATGTGTGCCTATAAGTCAGTGCATTTGCATAAATGTTGCTAAAGTGTAAATTGCTTTGAGAGGTCACTGTGGCTAGAAAAAAACAACTAAATATTCAGTCCATTTTGCATTTTTAAATCCTTCTGCGAGAGGCCCTTGGTGCAAGAACAAATCTTCTGATGTTTTGGGCTCCTCTATCAGAAATCTTGCAAAGAGCACCTAGTTGCTTCCAGTTTATGGCGAGATGCTCACAGTAACATTCAGAAGCTAAGAAATGTGTCTAAGTAATGGCATCACTGTGAGAGAGCTCTTGGATTTTAATGCAGTGTTGATCAGGACTACGCAATGCTTTTAAGTGTGTTCATCATAAGGTTCTGGATTACTTTCTAGATACTGATAGATGGAAATGGTTATCTTGGTTTTATTTTTTTTATCTTCCTTTTTACATGTTTTACCACTTTTTCCTTATCTTTTCATTTATTTATGACGTATGGAACCATTTTTCATTATATCTCTGCATATGGGGAGTATTTATGATTACCAGCACCTGGTGTGAATATAACAGCCTTATTATATATATATATACTGAGAAAACATTGAAATGTTTAATAGTCCTTTTTCTGCTCTATGAAGTATGAGTATCGAAGCTGCAGCTTAATTTCGTATCATCTGGAGTGTTGAAAAGGTTTCAGAACTGATCATCAGTCACTTCCTTAAATGCTTAACTGTTCAACGGTTCTGGGTAAGTATGATAAAACAGTTTTCAGTTAAATGAGTGGTACATCATAGTTTACTTTCATCATCAAGCAACATGACAAGGAAGAAAGATGAAAAAGTCATGCTGTTCTTAGCCAAACACTTGCATTCGGATGAGGCGAACCAGAAGATGGAAAAAACGTGGAGGACACTCTGTGAGGGATATAGGGGGACATGTTGATGTGCACTGATCTTTAGGGTCCCAGTGATGGCAGTTAGAGGATTAGATGGGAAGGAAAACAGACTGAAAAGACAAGTTTCATGATGAGTCACTTTGTGACATTTTAAGAGAAGAGTCCCCTGACACATTTCTAGTCCTCTCTCAGTCTCACACTCAGAGGGTCCCAGGTAACATCTTCTGTCAGCTTCTCCTACATGGTAAGTTTAGACAATATATCTTTGTCTTCTTTGAGATTTATTAACCTTTTAATCTGACTTGTGGAACTGAAATCTTTTTAGAGGATTTGCAGCATCAGAACTGGTTTAATTTTTTTAAATATACATTTTTTCTGTAAATAAACCCAACATATAATCATTTTGTATGCATTACGTCTGCACATATCTGACACAATCAATAACCTCCCTCCTCCTCTTCTTCTTCTTGTGTTTATTTGCTACTACCCAGATGCTGCCTCTCTGTTATCTTACCGTTTCAATGCTTTGGAGACTTCAGTTTCTCTCCTCTGCACTTGCTATCCAGTGCAACGAGAATACCCAATATGAATGGCCAATACTCAACCCCAAGCAATGTTGCAACAAGTGTCCACCAGGTACTGTGACATCACCTTTGTACTTACAGACTTTAAAGGTTTCATTGTAAAGGCTTTTGACCTTTATTTAATCTATGTTTGTTCCAGGTCATTATTATGTTAAACGGTCTGAGACCACTTGTGACATCTCATGCAAGAAATGCACGGGTGAGAGGTTTATGGATACCTACACCCTAGAATCAACCTGCAATATTTGTGGAACATGCACAGCAGGTGAGAAATTTACAGTAATTATTCTGTTTGGATGGGAAGACTTGCAATGTTTTATTTTAGCTGTCTCTTTATCACGAAATTACGATTCGATAAATGACGTGTCTCCAGTAAGAGCAAAAAAACTAGTTACAGAGGTATGCATCAGAAGGATACGGTTTGACTAAAACATTATCACCAGACAATCAGAGCTGATATGGACTGGTTTTGTTTTGAACATATGTATGATGAAGCATTACTGTAAATATACTCACAGCTTTACACACTCTCTCCTCTTTTTACAACCTTGTGGTTCCTGTTTGTCTTTGTGTGAACTGCAACTCTTCATGCAGGTTGTGATGGGTGAGAGTGAGTAATCTGTCGCTCTGACCGCTGAATTTGACCAGTTTCAATGCAATGCTGTACAGAAGACACACAGTTGGGAGTTACTCAGCTCTGACAGGGGGTCATAATTTCAGAGAAGCTTATAGAAAAAAAAGGTCTGCTGAACGTGAGGGGATTTCCCTGTCAGTGAATGAAAGGGGGCAAACAGTCAGAAGGAGATCAAAGAGAGGAGGGGAACTGGGGGGTCTGTCAAAACATTTCTAATGAAAGCTCAGATAGACTCACATTTGTGACTCTACAACGTGGAGACTTTTTAAAGTAGCTGAAAAGAAAAAAACCATGCATATTACAAAAAACAACGGAAAGATATGCTGATGCAGATTTCTCTGCACTGCTACAGGTGAAAAAAGAGCCCGTTTTGCTTATTTCTAAATGTCACAGTGGAATCAGCACCTAAGTGAAAACATGTTTTCTATTCTCAGTCTCAACTACTATTGTTTACATTCAGAGGCTCTATTTTTTTTTTAAGTATCTGGGCCAATCTGTGTCAAATGTGTTTTTTATGAAAACTTCTTAAAACCTTACTTATCTGTTTTAGAATCAAGACAGAGGAAGGTGGGTGTTGAAAATGTCAAAAAACTACACTTACAGGGGCTCGATGTCAATTAATGTGAATGGAAAGTAATTTAGGTGGAAATGATTACACCCACAGAAACGTTTTACATGCTGACCTTGCAGCACTGATCTTTCTTTTGTGCTTTGGATCGTTATTGTCGCCTTGACAGTTTGCAAGCTGCAAAGTAAAGAGAAGACAGGCTAAAGATAACCTTTTTTAGCACCATATAACAAATGTAACTCTTAAATGCCTAAAAAAACAACTGACCTATTGACCAGTCTACCTCTTTAGAAAGGTGTTGCATTCCTCTAAAATCAATTGATGCATATAATTGATCCCCAGCATTAATAAGGTTATGCTTAGGATAATTTCTTCACAGGAAAAGTTAAACGCGTTAAAAATGAAAAGTCTATTTCTTTTACAAAAGATTTTAAAAGCTTTGACTTATTTCAAACACTATAAATAATGACTTCAGCACAAGTTTTTTCTGAAATTCAATGGTCAATGCCATTCCTCAAAGAAACTTAAGCCTACTTAATCGAGTGACTTCTCTGTCACAATGAAGGGAAGTAAATTCTTTCTAAATTGTATCTCTCAACATCATAAGTGAAATAGGAAGATGCAGATGAAAGGTTTGCTTTTTTATTATTAAACTTAGGAGAACAAGGAAACGGACTAGTAAAAGTTATTAGCTCTTTGCTCACATTGTATCATCATGACCTCCCATAAGAAAATAAACTTTTATCACATTAATATAATTTATCAGCTAAATCTATCAGATAATCACTCTATCTCTACTTTCTATGTTCTCTCTAGATTATAAATGTACGCTTATACATTCATGTTTCACTATGATTCTGACACTGTTAAAGTCATTTAAACAGTTTTCTATTTGCTAATTTTTAGCACACAAGCTGGTGCGTCTTTGTAAGACAGAAATAGTTACATCAAAGCGAAACGCTGCTTTCTTAAAAAGAAATAACAGCCTTGCCTAATAGTGCCGATACAACTGACTAATGACTTAAAACTAAAAATGTTTACCAAGACCCAATCTATGAGTAATGTTGCAACATCTTGTCACACACAATTACAGTCATGCTTCTACATGTCATACATGTTAGATTTAAACACGCTCTTATTAATTATGTATATTTGAACATCCCTCTTTCTTTTTCCCAACAGAACATTCTGAGGTTGAATCCAACTGTACAATAACCCACAATACTGTTTGCAAGTGTAAGGCTGGCTACAGATGCATAGACAAGTCCTGCAAAAAGTGTGAGCCTGTTCCAAAGACCATCAAACCCACCCTGCCACCACCCACTACAGGTGAAATACAGTTTATCTACACATCCAACTTAATTAGACACCTACATTTTACTAAGGAACATTTTTTTTCTTTCTAGCATCCTTTCAAAGATTTATTATTAATCAAAGGATTTCTTCTTATATAATCATTTATACTAATGGCAATGTAGAAATAGGTTATCTATTACAAAGCGTTTCTGTTTCCTCACCTGTGGCACCAAAATGATATGGGTGCCATAGAAAATGTGGTATTGTACAGTCATTTTCTGATTTAAGCTCTTTAATTCCTACATTATCCATGTTCAAATGTTTCAAAATTTTATGACTGAAAAGGTATTTATTGAGGCTGAACACTGCTAAAATGTAAGTTATTCTGCATTACTCTTCAAGCTGCATTATGTGGCATTAAAGAGCTATTTTAATCAACATCAATGTTTACAAAAGTTTCATAACCAATATTACATATCAAAAATCAACATGAGGATGATTGTGTTAACATAGATGAAATAAAAACTAGCAGCAGAATCAATAGAAATCCCATATGAGTCAAACTGATGTCATTTAAAGAATACATTTTCTTCAGCAAAAAGAAAGCTACGGAATCTACTCCCCAACTAATATTGACTGCTCTATAAGGGGACGTTTATGACTGTTCAGCTGCTCCTTTAAATTAGTGATCAAGCTGATCAGAGTATACGTTTATTTAAGAGTTTATTGGTCTCTCAGGAGTCTAAGGAAATACGTTTCCTGCGTAATAGAGAGTTTTTTTCTATGGCAGTCTGAGAGGAATGTTAAAAAAGGAAAAATAGAGAAGTCTTAGAGCAACCTATGGTTTGGCTTTATGTTTGGTCAGATAAGCATAACTTGTCCCTCCTTTCGGCCAAAACAATAATCAGCTTTTCTGCTCCAGCTGCAGCTCAGAACCTGGCAGCTGTTTGTCCTTCCAAAAGAAAGTCACTATGTTGAACAAGTTAAATGCATGGAGGAAAACAAAACAAATAACTGTCAGTTTTTAAAAATATATATAACATTTGTTGCAAACAGCAATGTAGGCAATGAAAAAAAAAAAACTTGTTACAGCCCAATCTGACCCAGGGTATCAGTCCTGTCTCAGACTTGGTTGGACCGAAATTCTGGATGGTTTCAATGGCTCTGAGTCCAAATTTATCCTTAGTTTACCAACATTAACTTGCCTCTATGGAGAGGAGTAATAACAAGGGACACCTGGGCCAATCAGACGAAAACTTTGAAAAATTAGATGGTTATATAATTTTAGAAAATATAGAAATACGGCTTCTCTCAACAACAATTATCTGAACGCAGAGGAGGCAAAGTATCAACAAACAATCTTGTCATGTTATCTTTCTCATGAACAGGGCTTTTTCCACATTGAAATATTTTCTTGAACAAAAACACTTCTTCAGGCTGAAATATTCAGCATTAATCACTGTCTAAAACTTTGATAAATCATGGATTATTTTTTTTTTTCTGGAACCTCTATAGCAAAATTAAAAACTTATATGAGAGAAATCTTGGCATGCATGATCTTTTATAAGCTTGTAATTATTATGACCTTTCTGCTTGTAATTCAAACCAACTGTTTGCATATCCCGCAGTGACGATCAAGGAAAATCACACACAAACTGTCTGTCTGGTCAAAACTATGAAACTTATGTTTTTTATTTTTTTACATCTGCACTGAACTGATAAAGTTTTCTTCTTTCCTCTAGTAAAAATTTGGCTCACCTCCATAACAAAAACAACTGAAAAACCAAGAAACCCAATCAGAGGTGAAGTAAGCTTTTGTTAATGTAAAATTAAAATAATTTATATTCTTTTTCACTTCTCCTTGTGTGCATTAAATTCGGTGAAACATTTTTTTTTATTTTTATATTTCATTAAAGACACACAGTGGTTCCTGGTGATAGTCGCCCTTCTATGCGCTGGAATAGCATTGGTTGTTGTGACCAAAATCAAGCCTTTCCTCCACTGGATTCGGTCCAACCACGGTAAGAGGAGAGTCAGCTTAACACATTTTTACACATTCTGCTTTCACTCAGTGTAATCATTTTAGATTTGTCATCACTGTAAAGACCAAGTTCCACAATTAAAAGGCAAGCAAAAACATTGGACAGTTTTGTAAATTTATTACAAGCGGCATTAAATACCTTAGCTGATTCTAGGATTTAGCTCTGGGCACAGTTGTTTTTATCTATCAATCAATTCCATTTAGTTAATTTTGTCCAGTCAACCCTTTCTATATTCATTAAACCATTTGTTAATAATCATCATCCTGATGAAAGACCAACGGATGACCCATTTAATTTTTTCTTAAAATCTAGCAAGACAAAGCTTCAGAGACCAGATAATCACATGATACCAATAACCATTTTCATTCAGTTCTATAACAGTGTGCTTTAAATAGCTGCTTTAAGATAAGAGATAAGATAATATAGACTTTGTTGATCTCACAGGGGAGAAATTCACTGGTCACGTCAGCTCAATAGTCAAAAGAAGTTGCCAAAAGGAGGAAAAGGTGCATAGGGATATAGTGTGTCCATATATATATATATATATATATATATATATATATATATATATATATATATATATATATATATATATATATATATATATATATATATATATATATATATATAGAGAGAGAGAGAGAGAGAGAGAGAGAGAGAGAGATATGACATAACAGCTGATATTTCTTATTTAACAGGCTTATTGCACAGGGTATTAAATATGTATTTAGATGAAAAAATATTTATCTATTTATTTCAACTCCTCCTTGAAGAATGTGAAATGAAATTACATTTTGATCCCCATCCAATATAGTGTTCAGTTGTTGTTTTTTCTGTTTAAACCATATTTATAAAACAAATACTTATAGATTTCTTATCAATCAACTTATAAAATTTAAGTGTAATCAATGAGAATCAACTAGGCTGAACCAGGCAAACCCTTAAAAGTTTCAGGATACCGGCCATCAAGGGCCCACTTTGGACATGCCTTCCCTAGAGTTTGCACAACTTATGCTTAAGAATTAAGGAGTCCTCTTATATTAAAACATAATTGTATGTTATTTGCAGGTCTGAATACCTTTGTTACAAGAATATTAGATACTGTTATTTTAATATCCTTAGGGACAACCCTTGGTTTTCCATAGGGACGAATTGTGTGTTATCGTAAACATTTACTGAAATGTATAGTCATTATGTCACCAAAGGTATAGCTTTATCAATTACTTCTAATGCCTTATGCAAAACTGTGACAACTGTTTTTGTTTGTACTAAAAAGATTCATTCACCTAAGCAATTTGGATGCTTAAGTTGAAAATGAAACTAAATTTTTGATTAATTTGGCCAACAAAAATCTGATCACTTTCTCGTTAATAAACCATTAAAACCAAAGGCTGGCGAAAATCAATAAAAATTTGAAAAAATAAATAAGAAGGTGATGTAACAGTCAACTAAAATACCTGCACCTGACACGGGAGAAAGCTGTGCATTCCACACCCTTGATGCTAACACACTTGTGCTATTCGAAAAAGTATCAAGGTGACACACATACTTCAAAAGATGTGACAGGCTTTGATATTCTCCAAAAACCCCTTTGTTTCCTCACATTTAAATGCAATTTCAATGAGTAAGCATATGTTGCAATACAAGCAATAGCCTAACAGCAGTTAGGATAGATCTGATTCTGATACAACTTCAGTCTTCAAAAAAAACAAAAAACAAAGGTTTAATCCTGCTTAAAAATACTTTGTTTTGATCACTTGTCAATAATTTGGGTCTAGACATATTTTATTGTTCCAGTTAAAAACAAAACAAAAAAAACAACAACAAAAAACTCCTTGAAAATATGTCCTTCTTCAAAAACATTTTGAAATAACTAAAAATAAGTCCCGATTACTCTCTTTAGACACAACTGTTTGTTGCAGTTTGGACCTGTTTAGTAGATGAACAAAACTAAAAAGAGATAGATGTAAACAAAAACTGAATGGTTTAGAAAATGACCAGAAAGATTGTACATCATGAATTGCCAGAAGAATCCAGCCTCTGTTAGGCCTTCTGGACAGAATCTATATCAGGACCTCTTAAGTGTACTATGTTTGTAGGAACAGGAATTGGTCCACATTTGACACAATGTTGCTGAGGATTCAGTGGATTTAGCTTTAAATGATTCTCACTAGAGTAGTAAACCAGAAGCTGGTCGACCTTCTATTCAGATTGGTTGTTGTCTCGGTTCAGATCAATGACCAATGACAGTGGTACATCGACAAACTTCATAAGTTTTAGATATGGTCAACTAAGGTGCAGTAGTTGGGGTACACAGATAAGAGAGGTTAAGGAAGAACACACCTATGGCAGGGTCCAGTGTTAGTGGTACTTTGTTCTCACACTGTTCCAGAGATCTAAAAAAGCTGTTTGTATGTAAGTTGGTCAGCACAGGTTCTCGTGCAGGTGGCACCTGGAGTGAACCAATGCATTAGAACAGGCAGTTCCCAAGCAGAGAGAAACAGCTGGGATTTGAACAAAGGAACCTCTCACAGTGTTACAAACTGCGGCACTGTGCAGCCCTATGCTGAGTCTTTGCATTCAGATATTTTAACATGTTGGAGTCTTTAACATTTTTGCCAAATACTGTACACCTAATCAACAATGTTTTTGCCTTTTTTTGCTTTTCAGGTTATTTTTTTGTTGAAAAACCAGTCCTTCCATGCACAGTGGACGAAGATGTGTCAAAACCAGTCCAGGAGGTTTGTGGAAAATGCGACAACTGCATCGATATCTGTATAAAAGAATAGATGCTGATCGCTGATGAACGACAATATTCTCTGACTCAAGAAAGAAACAACATCTCCCTTATTTCTCCGGATCTTGTTGATGAATGCAGAGAAACATAACTCAAGTTGTTATAATGCAGAGGAACCACAGTGGATGAATGGTTTAGAAACTACTGTCTGTTACTGAGAGGAAACATCACAAGATATCTGCATCCTGAATACTCAAAAACTAACCATATAAAAACTACACTGGGAAGATTTATTCTACCTAAACACACAGAGTGGGACACTATGACAGTCCTGCATGGGCTATTTGGTCTTTTGCCAAATGGGTATGTACTATGGTACACTGTACTATATAGGAGGAGCACACATGAGACTATATTTAAGTAAAATTTATGAGATTATCTTTTAGAGATGAATGTGATAGATGGGCCCAAACATGTTTCTAAGTAAATATGTTTCCTTATGAATTATCTCCTGTATATATGTATATAGACTGACATTCTGATTTGTTTTTAGATCATAAATATTAAATAGGGAATACCTTGAAAAGTTAAATACATTCTTTTATTTTTCTTTATTCAAAATAAAATGTATTTTTACTTTTAAAAGCATACCTCACATAATATGTACAACATTTACAAGATTTCTTAAATAATAAATGGCTGACACGAGACCATTTCTGCTTTTCATCAAAGTAAGGGCAGGATGTGGATCCAGATGAAAAACACAATTGTAAAACAAACTCACAGTTTGGCAAAAGATGCATCTTGTTGTTTGCCTAAAATTGTATTTTCAATGTTTTATAATCCTTCTTCAAAGAAGTCCAGGGTTAAGGTTTGTCCACCACAATTTCTTGGATTACAGCACCTCCTCCTTTGACATATGGTAGTCTTTGCCCTGCTCCTGGGAGGGGAAGAAAATGTCCTCTGTCTCGCCTCTCCCCTCTTCTTCGGAGAGGTGAACACTTGGAGAAGGCATGGGATGAAACACGGGACAGTCTCTCTCGTCTTCTTCTGCGATGCTGGCCGTCTCAGCTCTCTTCCTGCCCGGAACCGTCGACCCGTTCAAACCCGTAAGAAAGCTGAAGATAACTGTACTCGGGTTGTGGACATGTACTGGGTCAGCAGATAAGAAAAAAACAAAACAAAAAAAGGGATTATTTTCATTATCTGAATGCAGCTTAAGGCAAAGGTTTATTTCACTCAGTAGTACCCAGATTTGCAGCTGAAAGAGGCGTTGTCTGCTGCTTCGCACCAAAGTTTCTTGGGATATGATGCGACGACTCCTTTGCCTTGTGGGTGGCATTTACACCTTCCTAAAAACGAATCACAACATTATTTTCTAGAAACACCAAGGAATATCATGCAATAATCTTTAGAATAATAAAAAAAAAAGGAACATTCAACTCCCGTTACAGTTCTGGGGTATTTATAGTAAGGACTACATGAATAAGATCTGGTCCAAGGTTTTAAAATTATTCAAATAAAGTATTAGGAGACAAAACAGAATATAAGTTATTCTAAAAACAAAGATTAACCCTCCATGAAAAACACACCAAAGTCTCCTACATTCACCACAATTCACTACTATTACCTCCACTGCTAAAGCTGAAAAGGCTCTTACTTTGATTGAACTCACAATGTTATCTTAGACGTTTGTATCTTAACTCCTTCAACTTTACTAAGGTGCAAATTTATTCTAAAATAAAAACAATATATATAGAAGAAAAGAAGCAGCCAGAAGTTGCTAGTCACAACACCATTACATGATCATAAGTTAGTGTGACCATCTCAATAAAACCAGGAGTTATTGCTTATCTAGGGGATACACATTTGCACACAATGCAAGGAAGGAAGGGGCTACAGCATCAGCCTTGGAGGGGGGGGGGGTATGCACATATTTCCAAACTATTTGAAATACATCATGCTGTAATACTTACAAGAGGAAAACTCAAGTTTACAGTAACTGAGGGCAAAAAGAGGCTAATGCAAGCAAAAGTTTAACCTTTTAAAATTGTAATATTATTTCAATTGAGACAGGTAGTCTTATTTCCATGATTGTAGGCTCCAGAATATTACCCCATGGGTGAAAGAGTGTAAAGCATCAGGACACTAAAAGCAATAAAACTCAGATTTTGCCAACTTTATTTAGCAGATTAATTGTATGGGTTAATATCAGCACAATCAAATAAAAATACAGAACAACTCAATCCACAGGACCAGACCACCTTTCAGTCATTAGATAACCATGAACTCAGGAATCAAATGTGAGGCAACCTCTCATGTCACAAAGTCATAAAGCAGCGTTCAAGTTATTGCTAAAAATGGTGGTTTTAAATGGTACAGGATCGTGTGGCCCTTTTTTAACAAATCATGATGATGTTGGTTCTTCTCTGGCCTTTCACACGAGTTAGGTTATAATTTTAGAACCTTGTTATGACCAGATCATTACAACAGAATTTAAAGAATGTTTTTACCATGACTATGTAAAGACAGCAGAAACCTTAACTTACATACCTCATTACACATCTTTGCAATAACTGAAAAAACAGAAATGATGAGTAACATAAAATTAGTTTCAGACCTTTGCGTCAGCATGTTCATCATTCATGTAGCAAAAAGCTCAAGATAAATCCTTATTCACACTCATCTCCACACTGCTCAGTTTAAACGTGTTTGTTGATTCAATCATAAAGTTCAGCTGAGGCCGCGGAAACTGTCCTGAATGTAAATGAGCACCTTACTTTGTCTGAAACATGTTTCCTCTCGGGGCTGATTGATGCAGAACAGGATCATAAGAACCAAGCATACTATGAAGACCACCGAGACCAAAATGGCTGCCAGCTCAGCTTTTACTGCAACAGGAAATTAAAAACGTCACAAAGATCTAAATAGTACAAAAGCAATGTTTTCAGAAACAACAGGTGGATAAAAACATACAAGTGAAATAAAGAAAAATAATATATGGGGCCTGAATGTTTTGAATCTAGAAAAAAGGAAATCTAACAAAAATGAAAAATAAAACCTTGAATATTAATTAAGGATAAATTGGTGTTAAATGTTTTCGAAAACAATTTTATTCTTAAATTGATTTACAAAAAGGTTTCAATATTCATATTGCTTGTCTCTAATATTTTGTATTTTCTGTGATTTATTTAAAACCTTTACAGTAATATGGAGTTTCATGAGTTAACTAAGTATTTTTGTTAACTTTCCCTTTGTCAATCTGATCAAAATCAAATAAGAAGTTCACTTAATTATAAATAGGAAAGAAAGATGATATTTCTGCCTAATGAAACCTAAAACGAAGCTTATAAATAATCACTGTAGGGTAACAAAGAGGGAGGAAAGTGGTGTGGTAGTGAGCAGACACTTTGGTTACTTTAGCGCCATCTATAGAGATAAAGTTGGTGTGTCAAAAGACCCAAATATCAACCAACAATAGTTGTTTCTCAATATGTTGCCAATTGACATATTTTTACCCAAACAATTTAATGACCTTTACCTTATTTGTCAACTATTATAATATTAAAATAAATTAAATATTTTGGGGGTTTATCCGTTTTTGTCAAACCACATTATTAAAGTATGTATATGTTTTTCCTCTGCCTTATTTATTTTCTTGGGGATAATTTAGAGCTCCTTTGGCCATTCTCTGAAAAGCATTTTTCCTTAAAAATGATATTAATTTTAGCTCATATATTTTGATTTGATTGTAGCAAATGTAGGTAGTACTGTAACTAGTTTCATTTACTCAGATCAGTTCAGTTAATTATTGTGATATTTGGGCAAACATAAATACATCTATTGCATCAATGCACAAAACCACGAGAAAACATATAGCTGAATAGGAGTGGGCAGAAGTAAATAACTTTTCATAGAACTTCATATAACTCTGTCCTCATACTTAAATTTACTTTAGTTACCTTGTGGAAAGAAATTAAGTACTTTTCAGAGTAATGTGTTAGTCAAATACAATATTTGGGCCCTTTATCCACCTCTGGAGAGAACCAAACTATTTTTTTCTAAAATCAGGTCTTTTATTCTGTAAAAAAAAAACTGTATAAAGAGACATTTAAAAAATTAATGAAAACCCAGTTAAATCTGTAATTTTGGCATTAAAGTAAGTCTTGGTTTATTTTAATGCACTGAAGTGGCGGCCTAGTGGTTAGGGCGTAGAGCTTGGAATCCTAAAGTTCTGAGTTCGAGGCCCACTCCCAGCGACTGCCAGTCTGGCTCTCTGAGCAAGACCCTTAACCCCATACTGCTCCCTGGGTGCTGCAAAATTGCAGCCCACTGCTCCCAGAGGGGATGGGTTAAATGCAGAGGTAGACTTCTCCACTGTTAGATCAATAAATTCAGTTATCATTATTATACAATTCAGCACTTTGTGAAGGTTTAAATGCAGCTGCATTGAGCTCTTTATAAATTGTTCTTCAGCTAATCTCAAGACTGGATGAGATGAGAAGAGGGATCATTCTTTCACTGATGTTTATAGCAGTAGTCTGCATGCCCATGGTCTGGATTATTGTATATCTGTGGCAATGAAAGTGATTGAAATACTTAAAATAATTCCTGTTTGAAACCGGAAGCCTCATGCCCACAGAAAAAAAAGAAGTAAGGGTTTCAATTAACTTGTGTTTCCAAGTCCAGTGGATTGTTTTTAATTTTCTTTTTTTTTGGAATGACTATGACCTGGATGATTGAAAACCTTCACCAGCATACTTTAGTAATTCCTTAGTTTGGCTAAAGGAGTGCAACTCTTACTTTGGAGGCAGTTTTTGGCTACTTTACTCATCTCTGCAAAGTTGCATTATAATTTAAAAAGACATTGCATTTCTTATTCTTTTTTTTTTGTTTTGTTAAAGCCTATAAAACATTATGAATAACTCTCACCTGGTTTGGGATCAGAGGTAGTTGGGGAAGCTGAAGGTCCACACCTGTGAAGGATAAAAAGGAAAATATGCAACTTTATGTCTTAGAGAAGTATTTATCATCTTCGTAATTATTATAAATCAGTACCTCTAGTTGCATTTCTCAGCTCAGTTCAGCGTTTTTTAGTACACAGTATTTTAGTCTTTTCCAGGGAAAAAAAACAACTTACCATTGGGAGCTACAAGGTTTAGTCTGAGCTGAGGAAGTCTGTAACCCATCGGCTGAGGCTTCAAAACAGAAACATCACACATTTGTTTCATCTTTCAACTAAATGAAAACATAAATAGATTGCTTTTCTTTTTCACACTTTCTTAAAGGAAATTAAGGTGTCTATTTCATTACAGGTACAGTGAAAGTTTAAGATACAAGACTCCTTTTTCACTTTTATGTGTTTCACTCTTCATGTATTTTGTTATACAGTACATGATCACAACAGCCCCACATTTCCTCTTACTGTGTCACTGTCTGCAAAACACAACATACGTAGACAAAAAGTCCCTCACATGCTCATACCCCACACAAATTGAAGTTTTTTTTTTTTATCTAATCCATAAACAATGTTTTAGCCACTTGGGGGCAGTGGACACTTAAATAAATTCATGTAACAATTTGTACAGCAGCACTTCACTCACTGCCCACACACTGGTGCTCTGAGATGGATTAAGCAAGCTAGTCCAATCTGTTCAAC